GAAACAGTTTATAACAATTATTATATTGTGAGGCATTTTTGGGGGGGAAAAATGTAACATCTACACCAACAAATGTATTTTCTTTTAGGCACTAGATTTGAGGGTGCCGTCTGGGCCTGTGAAATCAATCGCAAGTTCTATTTTGATAATTAAAATTATCAATTTTGTAGAGTCTTTTTTGTATATTATTTATTAAAAAAAAATAGGTCAAGCCAATAAATCCAATTATAAGTCTCATTTTGATAATCTGAACTGTTAATTTTGTAGAGCCCTCTTATATATTATTCATGAAAAAATTAGGTCGAGCCAATAATCGTAGTCTATTCAACTTATTATATTTGTCTCTAAAAAAATAGAGCATTTTTTTGCAGACAAACACGATAAATTGAACAAGTTATAATTATCAGATTAATCTAATTTTTTCAATAGTGATATACACTGAGGCCATGTTTAATTCACAAGACTAATAGTAAACGTATTAATAGTCCCATCAAATTAGTATGATATTCACTATCCAATTAGATTAGTAGGATAAATTATTTCATTGTCCATTGTTTGATTTGCATTGGATAAGAAAACATATAAATGTAGGATTACAACTATATTTATCTTCTTTTCCAATCTTATCATCCATCAATGTTTCTTCACAATCTTTACTTTATCAAAATTTCTTCATAAGTGCAATTTTGAAAAAAAATTATAAATAAATAAATAAAAGCAAAATACAAAATAAAAAGGCCATGTTCCGTTTTTTTTATTTTTTTAAAATATAAATTAATTTGATAAAATAAATATCAAAAAATATTTTAAGTTTTTAAAAATTATTTTTAGCCTTCTAAAATATAAAATTATATAAAAATAATTAGTGTTTTAATTTTTAGTCAAGGGTAAAAAAGTCTTTTTATTTTATTTCCCAACTCAGGATATATAATCACACCCCTACCACATTACTAATAATCCTACAAATTTGTTGAATTAATTATCCATTGGATTAATAATCTTAAAATAAAATTTCAAAACAAATACAAGATTATTAGGCCCACGGATTAATGATCTCAATTACATGCTCTAATCTTGTCAATCAAACATATCATGAAAATTTTACAAAATAAAATATTCAAATAATCAAAATAAAATCGGTAATGAATCGCACAGGGGCAACTAGGGCTATCCCGTCCAAAGTTGTAGACTGCCGACAATCTATTCCCTCTGCTTGATACATTAGTATATGTATAACAACATAGATTAGTATATACACATAGATATAACCAATTGCTTTCAAATTTTCAATTTGATAGGTTCACATGAGATTACCATAATCCAGTAGTAATCATATAAAATCTGTTGACCACTGCATAATGATAATAAACAATTAGAAGTGTTACAATCCCGAATAAACTGCCCAGGTTGATAATTTTCTTCATAAGAGCTAAACTTTCTTATCAATATGAGTTTCTTTCACACACACACAAATTGTCAAAACGACGTCGTTTTGGCAATTTTGAAGTTGTTTTGTACTCAAAACGACGTCGTTTTAGCAATTTCGAGCCATTTGAGCCACAAAAATTGTGGCCCTCAATCATTGCTGTATATATATATATATTTGCTCTTAATCATGTGAATCTCACGTGCTAGCTATTTTCTCCATGAAAGACGGTCATTGTATTTTTAAGTTGGATTATAGTGAAGAACCCTCTATTATAACAAATAAGAATTTTAGAGATTAAATTTTTTAATCCTTAAAAGTGAAAATTTTATTATAAAAAATATTTGAAGACCAATTTCTATCGATGTGAAGATGACTCTTAAGGTCATCTCGAAAAGTAAAAAACAAAACTTTTAGCAGCAAAATTTTTAAAATGTCACTAATAAATACACTTTTTAAGGACAAAATAATTTGGTCCAAAAAATGTTTATTTTTTGAGACAAACATTTTGGTCCCAAAACGATAACAATTCATCAATAATGTCTAAATTTTGTTGTTAAAAATATAATGACACTACTTGTGGTAACAAAAGTATTTGTTCCTAAAAATTAATTTTGTCCATAAATTTTTGTCTCTAAACATTATGGAAAATGAGTGAGAGCACTAATTAGTGCTACCACTAATGATGTGGCAGTGGACCCCACTATGAATGATTTGATGTTTTGGCCTTGGTGTTGTATTTTTTTTCTTTTTTTATTGAGTGCCATATCATTATTGATCTTTTTAGAGCTCCAAAATTAGTGGTCTCTATCATTGTTGTTTTTCCAATCCCAAAATTAACTAATGTCTAAAATTAGACAGAAAATGATACATCACATATTATATGACAGCTAATGTGATTTTTTTTTTTTTTATCCAATTTTGAATAGAAATTAATTTTAAGAATATATTAAAAAAACTTGAAATATGAAAAGTGAAAGTGAAAGAATTAAAAACTTTAAATCATCCTATATATATATATATATATATTGCACCTTTGTAGCACTTTCTTCATGTGTTTAACCCTACATAAAGTTGTATGTGAACAAAATTACCCATTTATTAGTTCAGATGGAAAGCTAAAATTACAGCCATGAAAATAAGGAAATTACCTATTATTGTCTATGATGATCCAAAAAATTTATGCCTAGAGCCTACAGTAATAACATTTGTTGCTAATTATGTTAAGTTTTATTGTTTCTCCAATATGTTGTCCAATCTAACAATTTGATAATGATATATTTTATTTTATTTTTTATTCCACATGGTAGTAATCTCACAAGAAAGTGATTTACAATAGAACTTTTGAATAAAAATTATAAAGAATAATGTAGCAACGGTATTTCTCAAATCATGAATCATAAGAACATTTTCAATTCTTAGCTCAAACCTATATTAAACTTAAATTTTGTTAAAAATTATTAAAAACACCCTCCATTTCTTGACCTAAATTTATGCCAAATTGTGTTTCACTCATATTTTTACACAAATCTAAGGAATATTCAAATGTTTACTCGAACTTTTCAAAACTATTTTGTAACTTTCAAATTTGCTACTCTGCTAGTAGTAAAAGTTTACTTGAATTTATGTTCAATGAAATGATTCATATCAAATAGTTTTTTTATTCAAATTTGATTGAAATTTTGAATAAAGAAGGAAGATAGCCTATTGTGTTAGTGTTTTAATTTGAAATAAAAGGCTCACAAACAGCCTCATCATTCTATACAATTATTGTGTTTTGTATATTATTATTTTTTAAGAAATTAATCAAAGAACCAACTATAAAATAGAGATGATTTTAAAACGTTTTTTTTTTTATCGGCAAATGAAACTTTATTGATGAACACATACGTAATACATCAACAAAGAGGAGCTAGGAGCTAGACGGAGCTCCAACCTCCTCATTGGTGAGAAACCAACGGAAAGACAAAGAACAAAACCAAAGAAACTGACCAGCTAAATCTGCTACAGGGGAAATCTGCTACAGCTAAATGAAACAATGAACACTGAGTCTGCTTACAGAGGAACTGCACCCAAATGAAACTATCGACAAACGGAGCTAACAACACTGAATCTGCTTACAGAGCTGCACCCAGGAAGGCCCACTTCAGAGAACAGCGGACAGCCATTACACAGAATCTGCTTACAGATTTGCCTGCTAATTGATGCACTGCCTGATCTGATGTAGGTTTGAGACAAGGTCATGGACTGAGTAATCGACCCTGAAGGACCACTTCACCCACAGAGCAATCTGCAGTTTCAACCTCTCACTTAGGCCTGCAAAATCTGGAGTAACCCTCTTAAATCTGCACTCGTTTCTTAACTTCCAAACAGACCACATCACTAGTGTTGGAACAGCCTGCCAAGCTTTGTGAACCCAAGACTTCGCTTTACTCCCAGACCAGCATTGGAGCAAACCCTCAACAGAACCAGGGATGACCCAATGCTGATCCCACCAACTAGCCATGGCTGCCCAACACTTCCAAACCTGTGGGCAAAACAACAGCACATGCTCCAACGTCTCCACAACAGATTGACAAAAAACACATTGGGTCTCTGCATTGGGAGGGAGAGCCCCAATCCTCTGAAGGAAGAAAGAAGTCTTAATGCGGCCTCTCCAAGCAAGCCAGCATAGGAACTGCATCTTGGGAGGTGCCAGGCTTACCCACACCCCAGCTGGCACTCTCAATTCAGGGCCTTTATTTGCACCCCACCAACTCCACACCGATGATGTTGAGAACTTACCAAATGTTGATGCTAGCCAAGAGCAAGAGTCTTCAGATTCACTTCTAAGATCAGGAGATGAGTCCAAGAATGCAGTCAGCCTCTGCAGCTTCTCTTCCTCCCATGCCAACAATCTCCTTCTGAACTGGAGCTGTCATACCCCGAGTTTCTTTTTGGCACTAATTTGCTGTAATGTTCCATCCTTCTCAGTGGATAGACTGAACAATCTAGGATACTCCTCAATCAGACTTCTACCATTGAGCCAAGCATCCGACCAAAACTGGATCCTTCTCCCGTTTCCCACTGATAGCTTGAAGTTCTGGGAATAAAACTCACCCAAAGACTGGTTATTTAAATTGAGCTGCACTATATCCTTCCATACAGTAGACGCCCCATCTGTGTTGGACAAAGTCGGTGCCCAATCCCCTCCTAAACGCCCATACCTTGAGCAAACAACTGATTTCCACAAGGTTTTATCCTCTGACCCAAATCTCCACCACCATTTTAACAACAAACAATCGTTCACCTCGCCCAAATCTCTCACACCCAAGCCCCCTTGACTTTTATTCTTAGTTACCTCACCCCAATTAACCAAGTGTACACACCTCCCATCCTTTGCTCCTCCCCACAAGAAATTTGATTGAATTTTTGCTAAAGCCTTAGCAACCCCCTTAGGCATCTTGAAAATAGATAGAAAGTAAGTAGGCAAATTGGATAGGACTGATTTAGTTAAAGTCAAACGCCCAGCAAAAGACAGCAGCTTACTCTTCCAAGAGGACAACCTCTTGCTCACCTTTTCCAGTATTGGGTTCTAGGTGCTCTTCCTCTTTGGGTTATCCCCTAGAGGCAAACCTAAAAAGTTGAAAGGTAAGTTCTTCCATTGGCAATTCAATCTTAGAGCTAAACCCGAAATTTCATCTTCTTGGAAGCCCACTCCGCATATAGCGCTTTTGTGATAATTTATTTTTAATCCAGACATCACTTCAAAACACCTCAACACCCTCTTAATATTAAGCACCTCCTCGTGATCACCTTCACAAAACACTATAGTATCGTCTGCGAACTGGAGGTGAGAAATACGCAAATCATTACCTCCCACAGAGGCTCCTCTAAACAAGCCCTTCTCTACCGCCCTTGCTAGTAAGAGGTTAAGAGCTTCCGCTGCAATTATAAACAAAAAAGGTGATAGGGGGTTGCCCTGCCTTAGCCCCTTCTGAGGCTGGAATTCCTCTGTAGGAGAGCCATTAACCAACACTGAAACCCTGGCTGTAGCAATGCAACTCCTCATCCAAACTAACCATTTCTCTCCGAAACCCAGATTATTCATCATCGACCACAGAAACTCCCAATTGAGTGAGTCATAAGCTTTTTCAAAGTCCAATTTTAGGATAATGCCTTTCTTCTTCGATCTTTTCCAAGCATCAACAACTTCATTAGCTATTAGCACACTATCTAGGATTTGCCTCCCACACACAAAGGCGGACTGAACCTCGTTGATCACTACTGGCAACACTCTCTTAAGCCTCCTCGAGAGCACTTTAGCCAAAATTTTATAGACCGAGCTCACCAAACTGATAGGTCTATAATCCTCCAAGCCTATGGGATTAACCTTCTTAGGTATAAGAACTATGAAAGAGCTATTAACCCCTCTCGATAGCTTACCATTTTGGTGAAATTCGTTCACCAAACTAATGATCTCCCCTTTCAAGATTGACCAGCAGCTTTTAATGAAATTAAGATTAAAACCATCTGGGCCTGGGGCTTTGTTCCCATCGCAAGCCTACACAGCTTCCCAAACCTCATCTTCTGAGAAAGCAGCTTCCAAAATACCAGCATCCGCAGGGCTAATAACAGCAAAAGGGCCAAGAAGTTTTGGCCTTAGCTTCCAATCCTCAGAGAATAGTTGACTGAAATGCCTAACCACTTCCTGCTTGATCTGAACCGGATCCTCCACTCTCCTACCCTCCACCACAACAGAGTCAAACAAATTCTTCATCTGCCTTCTGCTATCCATAATGTGAAAGTACCTAGTGTTTTTATCACCAGACTGAGCCCACATCTGCCTAGACTTTTGGTGCCATAGCCTCTCCTTGCTTCTACCCAGCTGCCACACCTGGCTCCTTACTTCTCTTCTTCTCATCAGTTCCACTTCCTCTAGAGATCTAGACTCTGCCTTCAAATCCCATTCATGAAGCTCCTCCTCTGCCTTCTGTAACTGAGTATCAATATTACCAAACATAACCTTGTTCCACATCCTTAAGTGGCTCCTAAGCAGGTTTAGTTTTCTTATCACTCTAAACCCTGCCCACCCTTGAACTTGAGCTTCCTCCCACCTCTTCTTTACCTCTGATATGAAGGATGGATGAGATAACCAGGCATTGATAAATTTAAAAGGCTTTGGTCCCCAATCCCTGCCATCTTCCTGTATCAAAATGGGGCAGTGATCTGAGATAGACCTTGGGAGACCCCATTACTTAAATGAAAATTTTTCCAACCACTTCACATCTAACAAAAATCTATCGATCCTACTCCACCTGTTTCCCTCCATGGCATTACACCAAGTATACTGCCTCCCAAGCATAGGCATATCAGTTAGTTCCAATTTTTCCACAAATTCATTAAAATCCTTCATCCCTCTATCTCTGGATAAGCAACCTTTCCTTTCCCCTATAAATCTAATTTCATTAAAATCCCCTCCCACACACCACGGATTTGGAAAATGATGATGAATACCCGCAAGTGATTTCCATAACTGCCTCCTCCCAAGAACCTCATTAGGAGCATAGATATTTACAAGGGAACACTGAAAAGAAGGACTAGAGGTACCTGATAAAATGATGAAGTTTTTACCACTGTAACAACTCTTAAGCTCAAAGATTTGTGGCCTCCATATAGACAGTAGACCTCCAGCACTTCCCACAGAATCCACCACCATATAGTCCATTTCTTCATAGGGCCAAATTGATTTCACAAAATGATCCTCCATAATTCTTCTCTTAGTCTCCTGGAGAAAGAGCACATCAACCCCTCTCTCCCTCACCAATCTCTTTATCTTTCCCCTCTTTTCTGGTCTTCCCAAACCTCGCACGTTCCAAGATAATATCTTCATTTAAACACACTATTGATTCCCAATCTCCTCCGGACAGCCCTCTAAACTTCGGTTGCCCTGCCTCCTCCTCCAATTCTGCTCCTATCCTTCTCTTCCAGCTCCACAATTCTGCCCACAACCTCTTCCTCTTTGCCTTGGTAGTCCATACCCAGCTTGGTGCCTACTCTCACTGTTGCCAAAGCCTCCTCAACCAGTTGCTTCCTTCTATTCGCTGCTTGGGACTGGGAATTAGAAACCATTAGTGAAGCTGCTGCTTCCGCCGAAGCTTTGAGGATAGCTCCCCGTTGGAAGCCCAGCCTACCAACTACGCCTCTCCTTCGATCCGTGCCTTTTTTCCAAGACTTTCCCCTCCTCTGTGCTTTTCCATCCCGTATAAGACTCCCAGTTGCAGTCCGTTGAACCCTTTTTCTCTGATGTGGTTTATTTGTTTGGGCCTCATCCGGTCTACTTAAATGCTAGGCCATATTCTCACTTAAATCCGAGCCCAAGTCCTGAATCAGTCCAATGGGCTCAACCTCTTTCTGCACTCCTTCAATTAAAACTTCTAAATTTATGTTGGGCCTTGCCTCTGCTGGCCCACTCAGCTCCCTAAGTAGGCCCGTGCTGCATATGTTCTCTTCTCTACTTTGAACTCCACTCGTTCTTGCCGGGTGGGAGTTGACTGCCTGCCCCATCCCTCTCACCTTGGAACATGCGCCTACACGGTCATACCCTACGCTCCTCCTAGCCACAACCCCTGCATTTGCATGCTCCCCATCATTATCCACTCAGCTCCCTAAGTAGGCCCGTGCTGCATATGTTCTCTTCTCTACTTTGAACTCCACTCGTTCTTGCCGGGTGGGAGTTGACTGCCTGCCCCATCCCTCTCACCTTGGAACATGCGCCTACACGGTCATACCCTACGCTCCTCCCAGCCGCAACCCCTGCATTTGCATGCTCCCCATCATTATCCCTACCCTGCACCTCTGAGCTACCCATCACTGTCTTCACAACCCGAGAAGCCGCTTCCAGCTCTTCACTCACTATCCCTTCCCTTCCCGCATACGCTACCTGTGCACTCTTGCAAGTTCCACCATTGCCATCCACCTGGTCTACCTCATCTTCACCTTTGGAGTGCAGCCAACCAGGGTCTTTACCACTGCTCTCGAAAGAACTATGAAATAAGCTTTTAGGCAACTCTTCACAGACTCTAACCGGGATATGACTTCCTTTGTGCTGCAAAAAAATTGTTGTGTTGATCCACTCCATACATCTCGTAATCACTCGGACTCTAGTCTGTTGAAAAGTTAAAGGGTTATTGAAGTCCTCTTCATATTGAACAACCAACCCCCAATTACTGCCTATGCTTCGAACTGTCGTGATACTCCATAAGTTAATGGGGATGCCAAAACAATGCAGCCATACACACCTCTCTTGCTCTAAGAACTGGCCTTTGTCCCACTCAGTGATTGATTCGCACCACTACTTTCCCCACCTCTGCAACTCTTTCATGCCTTCCTGCTTTTGCTGTTCTGTGGGAAAAGTTACCAGAACTAATTTACCTCCCCCCTCTCTAGCAATTACATCTTTCATACCTCAGCATCTCATTTCCTCTTGAAATGCCTCGAATGCTAAGAAACTGTTCAACTGAACTAGTAGACTTTCACTCCCCCACCCATTCCCTTCCTCGAAGACTTTTAACACCATCCTATCCTTATCCCTTACTTCATCACTTAGTACTGCCTCTGCATAGGATTTCTGGACTCCCTTTCCTTTCCACTGCTTTGATTGCACCCACCGATTCACTATACGACCTTCATCTTCTCTGCTCTGCCCCTTAGACTTCTGTTGCCCCACTGACAGTGGCTTTTGGTACTCAGCACACTTGACCCTTAGTGCCTTGTTTCCACACCACAAGCCATCTACCTTCTGAATCGCCACCCATGCGGCCACCTCACAGTCGTATCTAACGAACCCAAACCTGGAATTTGTTGCTTTCCTCCTCTTTCCCGAGATGAACACATCTTTGACTAGACCAAACTTCCGAAAAATATTGAACAAGCCTGGAGGATCCATTGATTCAGGGATGTTATCCACGAAAACTGTGATCAGAACTCCTTCCCTTGACTGACCACGATGATTACCCACACTTCTCCTTCGAATGATTGGGTTCCAGCCCCCCCGATCCAACTCTCTTCTCATTTTAGCTTTTTTAATGATTTTAAAACGTTAAAGTGTAGTTGGTTATGTTTCGAAATCAAATTACCATAACAACAAATGAGAACAACCTACGATTGATTGCGTTTATAGATATCAATTGAACACAAGAAACCAAGTTATTGTCCTTTTTTTTTATCACTCATCGGGCTATAATGGGAAAATGTAATAAATTGGTCATCATCTCCTGATTTTATCACTCATTTGGAAAAAAAATTCAAATTCAAATTCAAATTAGTAATTCCATAGGAGAAATTAGATTAAATTTATTTGAGTTGTACAAGAAACAACTTCCATTTGTATATGTGTTGATAAGACTCAAGCAACTGTTTACTAAAAATACATATCTCTGCAAAAAAAAAAAAAAAAACTCAAACGAATTGATGGGACCTGCACAAGTGTTGGAGCAAGTTTCAATCGAATATATCACTATGGAAGAGCTGGAGACTCATGGACCGACGGACAGTCTCACATAAACACTTTCTATTGGCGTGCAAAGGTTTTTGGGGAAAATGTAATAAATTGGTTGTTTGTTGTTTTAATTGTTTTACTTGTATATCAAAGTAAGTTTATTTAGAGATCCTAACTTGGTGCAATGAAAAGTGTTATTAGCTCATAATCTTGTGCCATATGTGATTTCCATTTTTTAAAATTAATGTTTCTAAAAAAAATGAAAGGAAGAAAGAAAAAGAATTAAGTGTAAGATGGCATATCTGTTACCTACCATATCTATCAGAATTTATTGTAAAGGAGAGACTTGTGCATTGAACAACATATTTATCAAAGTAGATTATATTTAAGAGATATGGATAAACATTGTGAAAGCAAACTAATTTCTTTGTGATTAAATATTGAACAAAGGCTAAGCATTGTATAAAAATACTGATTAAAGAAAAGAAAGAAAAAAAATGGGACTTGTGGGTGTAAAGACAAAGTTCAAACTGATACCAATCCAACAACACACCACCACCAAACCACCACCGAAGTAAAGACACCAAGACATCATGGCATTGAACCATGCGCGCATGTGCTTATTATTAGGAACCCTCCCATGGAAGCTCTTTGCAAAGTACAAGCAGTTCAGGCACTGAGTAGGAAGGACCAAAGTGTTTATTTTTTATTTTTTTTCTTTCTCTTTTTTGGGTCAATTGACACTAAAGCCATATTTAATTGCAGGTTTGGGAAGTGAAATTTGATTGCTAATTAGTGTCATCATTAAAATTATAGTTGGTTATTTCAAAATGATATGAGATTTAGAGTAGCATGGAATTATGAATCCTTTTAAAGGGTGTGATTAGCATTTTCATAAGGAGCAGGATTCACACTCTAATTAGCATTTTCATAAGGGAATTTACGTAATTTTATAAGTTTAATATCAACCAAACCAATTAATATCATCACAATAGTAAAAAACAAAAACCATTAATCTTACATGTTCAACCTAGTAGCACCACACTTTTAATCTTATCACTCAAATCTAACGTTCTCATAATTTCACTCTAATTCAACAATCAAACAGGGCATGAGTTCTATAACGGTTCAAGAGGTTTTGAGATTTCAGATTAAATACTAAAATAAAATTTTAGTTTTCTCAACTTATACAAAATTAGAGCATTTGAAAATTTAAAAATAACAATATTGATGCATGAAAATTTAAAAATGACAAATTGAAAATTTTATCACTTAATTTTCTCTCTCTCTTTTCAATGCATGAAATGAAAAAGGGGAACTTTTCGGGTGTAAAAAAAAAAAAAAAAAGCGGAACTTGATCATTGCATTCACATTAGTCAATGATCATATAAAAACAAAACCAAAACACATAAAATAAATATATATATATATATATAGTTTGTATATAAAATGACAATATCGTATTGAAATTTATTATTTAAAAAAAGTGCCCATTAAATAATATTAAATTACAAAAATGTTACTGTTATATTATTTTTTTAAAATTCTATATATAAATTTTGTAAAAATTGTATTTTTCTCTCTAAAAACATGTTGTGTATCTAACAATAAGCAGATAGATTAGTTGTGTTATAGCATCATTTGTCTAAAAAATTTAAGATCATAGAAAATTAATCCGATATTGTATATCAAATTAACAACAGTACATTACATACAATCTTGTTTCGAATATGAAGAGAATAGTAAGAGAGAAAAAATTAAATGCACCGTATAAAGAGAATAAATTAAATGCACCGTAACAATAATGACACGTGACAATATTTGAATCAAGTTCTTCATTTTGTTTGCTTTAATTTTTTTAAACTATTTTGAGTTTTTTTTTTCGTATTTTGTTTTTTTTGGTAAATTTTTGTTTTCTTATTACATTCAATTTTTTATTTTTTATTTTTTTTAATTTTGAGATGCACCTAATATAGATTCACTTTAAAAGTAAAATATTTTTTGAAGAAATTTGAAAAAAAAAAATGAAAATGTGTTGGTTAGTTTTTTTAATTTTTTTTCTTCAATAAATTTCTTTACAAAAAAATTACTTTTAAGTACATCTAAATTAAGTGCATTTAAAAATTATGAAAAAATTTTAAAATTTAAAATTTAAGAAAAATAGTAATAAATAAATAAATAAAATAAAAAACTAAACCAAACAATGTGTGTCAAGAATGTGGTGATCATTCAACTCATGATAATCCTCAAGATCATATCTTCAATGCTAAATAGAACTTTATGTATCATTCAATCATTAGATTGGAACTCTGTTGTGATTTCTTAATCCACACTAGTTTGATTATAACCTGATCACCATGTTAATCATGATAATAAACAACTATACTTTCAGA